TTGATGGCGTGCCGTAGGTAATTATTAATGCTTTCACTTACTTTAAACTGAACTAGCCACAGATACACTCGATGACAGTTGTTGCTGCTACTGTGCCGCCGCCCCTGCCAGCTGTCCTTGCCGCTGCTGCGCTGCTGCCGTTGCTGCTGTTGCCGCTGCTGCTGCTGCCCGCTGCTCCTGTGCCGTTTTGTTGACTGCTGTTTCTTCTGTTGCTGATACTACATGCTGCTACGTTACTGATACTACTACTGCTACTGCTGCTTACTGCTACTGCCTACTGCTGCCCTGGCCTACTGTTACTGCTACTGCTACTTGCTGATACTATACTGTACTGCTGCTACTGCTACTTGCCCTACATGTTACTGCTACGTTGCTACTGCCTATGCTACTGTAGCTGCTAAGCTGACTGCATACTGCTACTGCTACTACTGTACTGCTACTGCTTACTGCTTACTGCTACTTGCTACTGCCTACTGCTACTGCTACTGCTACTGCCTTACCATAATGCTGATACTACTACTGCTACTTGCTACTGCCTATGCTACTGCTACTGCCTACTGCTACTGCTACTGCTACTAGCTGCTACTGCTATTGCTATTGCCTGCCGCTTTTACTATTGCTTCCTTCTGCTGCTGCTACTGCATGCTGCCCGTTGCTGCTGCTGCTGTTGTTGTTGTTGTTGCAGCTGCCTTTGTTGTTTTTCTGCTGCTGTTGCTGCTGCTGCTGCCTGTTTGCTGTTGCTGTGCTGTTACTGTTGCTGTTGCTTGTGCTGCTGCCATTTGATTGGGTTTTTTTACTGCTGCTGCTCGCCGCTGTCCGCAATGGTGGCGTTCTAGTCGATTCGCGGTTATACTCCTATACGACCATGCACTATTAATCACATTATATAGCGTTCTGCCTATAATGACTGTACGGCGCCGCAGTTATGAAACCTCACCATGCCCGCCCGCCATGCGCTGCTCACACATTAATTTACTGTTCCACCTCATGTAATTATGGTAATTTAATATCCGTATGGGCGGCCACACACTGCGATCGAGGATGCGCCTGTCGAATAAGCCTGATTTACTTTGCGGATATCTATCTAGATGGGACTGCCGACCAAGTGGCACAACGTTATCGATATCCAGCCTTTGTAATCTTAGGACGGTGTGCTATAATGTATATACATATATATATATGGTGTTGACTGTGTGTGTGTGTGTGTGTTGTGTGTGGTGTTGTGTGTGCGTGCGTGCGTGCCGTGCGTGCGTGCATTCTGCGCGCGCACGTGTGTGTGTGGTGTGTGTGTGTGCGCGCGTTGCATGTGTGTGTTTGCGCGGTGTATGTGGTGTGCGTGTGTGTGTGTTGTGTGCTGTGTGTGTCTGTCTGTGCTGTGTGGTGTGTGGCTGTGTGTTGTGTGTGTGTGTGTGTGTGTGTGTGTGTGTGTGTGTGGTGTGTGTGTGTGTGTGTGTGTGTGTGGTGTGTTGTGCGCTGTGTGTGTGTGTGTGTGTAGCGGTGTTGGTGCGTCTGTGTGCCGTGCATATATATATATATATATATATATATATATATACTATATATGTATATATAGATAATAAATAAATAAATATTATATATATATAATATAGTTATTATACATGCGCGGTGAGAGAGGGGCGGTGACATCTGGATTACTCATTTGCATGAACCTTTTACTCTGCATTAAGTGTGCGCGTTCGTTGACGATTCCGATACGGACCCGTAATGGTGACACGCTCCCGTGTTAATTAGGGTCACGATGTAACCTGAGCTTGTCATCATTAATACTGCTCCGGTCAGTCCGTCCAAAATCCGCCTCGTCCGATTCATTATTAGATTATTATCGTTATCGATTGTTAGTGTAGATCTAGCCCGTGCCTTCGATTCTGTATAACTACGCAAACACGACAATGCCTGCTATCGACGAAACTATGTTACAACAGGCAAGCCATGGTCCAGTGTATGACAGACATGCTGTATCCACACTGACCGTTACAGGCAGTAATGACAGCGCACGCTGTATCAGGCTTGACCGTTACAGACGGT